GAGAGAGAGAGGGAGAGAAAAATATACTTTTTTATTTTATGAGATTGAGATATAGTTCTGACGACTTGGTGGTGAAATTGGAGTGCACGTGTGCTTTTAACACGAGATGAAATGGTGCCGCCGAACCTTTTCTGTAGTTCTTTATATATAAATCGGATTAGGATTCTAAAGTTTCTTAGTCGGACGCTCCGCTATGGTTTAGGATTAATAAGAATTTTGTGCGAAATTCTCTTATAATTCCTCTTCGTGAATTTAATATCTTAACAAAGTTACGAAATGTAACGCAAGAAGTTCGACGAAGTTTAATCATTCTCAGACATACTTAATTCAATACTAAATTACGATTTTTAAATGAAAGACAATTGCCAATTTTATAACAAACATTAATTGATCAATTTATCAATAATTTTATTAGTTTAATTAATAAATTTACAATTTTCGAAATACAATACTGATTACAATATCTCTGTATTGTTACAAATTTATATAACATATAATATTTCATATATAAAACTATTGCATATTATTTCTTGTTTTCGAATTAAAATTTTCACGTTTTAAGATATAATTATATTAAAGTTGAAAATATATTTATTGATTGTTTGTGTCAAAAGAATTAATTTTACATTTCATGTTTGAAAACTAAATATACGCGCATAATTTCTCATTTATAAATAAATCCGTCAAATCATTTTAATACCAAAACCAGAATCGTTTTCTGGAGATAATATGAAAAGCTCATTTCGCATCGTCGTAAAATAAAGTCCTCACTCGCTCGACCGCTTCCGTTCTTATCTTGCATTAACGAAACACCGTATCAATTACGAGCGACAGTCCGAACGGGGGAAACAACTTTACATCCAAGGCAGCAACACGGGGCGAATTAAGGCCCATGATTCGAGGGAAGAAAAGAAGGAAAAATCCGAACGTCGAGCACTTGCTTTATGGTTCGGCGAGATTTCCACCGCTGGTAATAACACGCTGCGCTGAGAAGCAGAAAAAAAGACGCGATCGAAACACAGATTAGTGGTTGCCGATTGCGTAGAATCATTATCGGGAATGTGGGGCACAGCGCAGATAAAAGCAAATCGAGCGGTCTTTCGCGGTGATCGGGGAAAGTCGGCTCGGGCGAAGATGAAGAGGCACGAGCTTGACTCTACTTTAATTTCTACCTCGAACAGGCCGTACAGCTCAACATCCAAAGTCGTTGATCATCCTTTGCCATGTGAGACGGCTTAACACATTCCCATCGCACGCTGGATATATTTCTAATGCATTAAATGGATCTCACGACTCAATTGAAGATAACAGATTTTAATTGGCAGTTCCGCGACCTGTCTGTTTGGATTTGCAAATAAGCGCTTTCCATCAATCAGTATTCGTAAAAAAGAATCATTCGCTCGCGATAAATCTTATTTCCGATCTTATTTCTGTCGCAATTTGATTACAGGCAGCCACTATTGATGGCCACTACTGTATACTACGGTATACGCAGTGGCGTAATTTAATTTCTCAGCTGACGTCTCGAGGAAGCGTAACACAGTTGTTTGCGTCTTCGCTCGCGAAATGAGATAGATAAAGGTCTTGTCACGACTGAAAAATCTTGCACTCTTCCACCCACCTCGCTCCATCCTATCCGTCACTTTTAACCACCGTGATGGATCATCGTTTTGACGCGACGGCATATGGATTACCATCTTCCTTCCCGATGCTTCTGAGATCAATCAGCGGATAAGGAATCGCGATTGTTATTGGTAGAGCGCAGATTTCAGTTACGCCCACCTGTCAATTCTTCACCACGCTTCGATTTAAAGCGCGTCTTTGAAAATTTCCCTTCGCCATAAATTTTCTCGCTCACCGCACTCGATCCGGAATCTATAATTACGTTGGTTTTTGCTCACCCGCGAATCACGTCGATCCGATACACTATTTCCAAATACGGAATTTAGAGTTGTAAAGCCGGGTGACACGTGCTGCTCACGGGAATGAATTCGCGCGAAAGTCGTCGTGCGGATATCGTTCGCATACGCGAACGCGTTCTTACGTAGGTCGTTTCCTATTTTCTCGACTCTTCCTTTTCCACGACGAACTCGTTTCTCGACGAGCGACTGAGCGCGACGAGCGCGGCCGAACCGATATCCACTCCGGCTGGAGATGCTTGTCGATCCAAGATTTTTAACAAACCACATATATACCTGCCGTCCTTACCCCTTTCGCGGTCGGCTTGATGGCTGCTCGCAGCCACTATCGATTTCTACTATCGAGCCTGATTATGCTCGCGCGAAGGCGCGTGAAACATGTTCCGAGATTATACACGCGAGCAAAACGTACGTTCAAGGAAAGCCCGAGCGAAGTAACTCAGTCTGACAGTATAGTTACAGAGTGATACATGGAAAATATGGTTTTGCTGAGGTATTTAAAAATTTGGCCAGATTGAAAAATCTGAAAAATCAATGTTGTTAAACTCAAATTATTTTCAAATCTGTATCTGTATCAAATTTTTAAATATCTCGGCAAACCTGTTTTTTTTTCTGTTTATGTAATGTAATGTAAAACGTACTAAAAACAAATCGTATTTTTTTTTCAAACTCCGCCATCAATAGAAAATATTCGCGACAAAAATCTGTTTGCATTAATACACCGTATCGTATTTCCTTGAATATAAATTACGAAAATATTATAGCGGACGACAATGTTCCATTTTCCATGATAATAGTACCGTGTTATTATGCAGACCTTATATAACTTTCGTAGTGCTGTTATTTCTCCATTTCGCTCACAAGTTTCGTTGTTTGTGCTTCA